ACACCTGAGCCCAGGCAGCTACTGGGACCTAAGTGGACACGGGGAATGATGGGAAAGTGAACCTCGGGGAATGATGGGAAAGTGAGCCTCGGGGAATGATGGGAAAGTGAACCTCGGGGAATGATGGGAAAGTGAACCTCGGGGAATGATGGGAAAGTGAGCCTCGGGGAATGATGGGAAAGTGAGCCTCGGGGAATGATGGGAAAGTGAGCCTCCAGCTCTGTGGACCACAGGAGAGTCAGGAGCCACTTCCGGTCTTCTCAGAGGACTGGGACGGCAGATGAATCTGAAAGTAGTCTGGCCTTTTAACAACAGTAAGATTTCCAGTTTAAAAGCCCATAGGACTGTATTTAGACATAAGTGCTGTTAAAATAGGCATTAAACAACTTCTAATGTCATCGTGAGCTTGAATAACAAGGGCTTCTCTGCTTCACAGGGTGAAGTCAACTCTTAAAAGGGGGTCCTTTGAAACACGTTCACATGCTCATGCCACCAGAGTTCTGTTGGTGGCAGGTCTTCCACCCACTGTTCCGATCTGCTGGCAGCTGGTCGGAGTTCACTGGCTTCACGGGAGCTCTAAGACCTTTTCTAGGAATCAAATCCTCCTGCTTCTCTTCCTTCCTCCATGTTGGGGATTGAACTCAGGGCCTTTGCACTGAGCTACATCCTCAGCTGTCTTTTTAATTTTTTTGCCTTGAGACAGGATCTCACTAACTTGCTAATTTGCTCAGGCTGAGCTCAACATTGAGATCTTCCTGCCTCAGTCTCGCAGAGGGCTGAGATTACACGGGTGTGCTAACAGGTCGGGCTTGAATCTAAGCACTTCGTCTCTCAAATGTTTTCATAATCTTCCAGCTGCAAACCCAAGCTTTGGGTGCCAGGGATCGAATTCATGACCACATGCTTGCCAGGCAGGTGCTTATGCCACTAAGCTAAATGCTCAGCCCATACTCAGCTTTTATGACCATAATCCCCATGGGAAGATGTAGAACTCCGTATTGGAAACAAACAGCCCAGATGACCTGATCCATATCCGCGTATCAGTTCTCTAAGTCCATTCTGACTGTCCATAGCATTGGTAACCTGGTGGTTGACGCTGGATCACACATTTCATTGTTTTCACGGGAGACCCCAAGCACAGAATTTTCTTATCCAGTCCTCCCTGTACTCATGAGAGGCAGAGGCCACTGACCTGTTTGGCTGCACTGGCTGAGGGGCCGAGGAATCCGCTCAGGTGGCCAGGATGGGGATCGGATGATGTCAGAGGTCACAGGTTGCTCCACACCAGAAAGCAGGAAAAGGGCCACTTGGAAGATGCTGCCAGTATGTCCCTTGCTGATTATGCAAGCACCTGTGTAGATCTTGTTCCTCCAATGGCGAGCTGGCGCTGGAAGCCACACAGAGATTCCTAATTGGGTCCGCATCTTGTTTGCATTTGAAGAAAGATGATTTTGCTGCCGCTGCTGCTGCAGGTGGGTGCTTTCTGTGTTTCAGGTGTCCTGCAGGTACAATGATGGGTTTGTCTTGAGAGCACGGGTCCCAGCACGGTCCTTATCTCACAGATATGCAAATGGGGGCTCAGATCCAGGACCGTCCAGGACTGCAAAGCCTGATTGAACTGATCTGTCACCCAAGCCCTGCCACGCAGGAGCATCGCTGGCTGGTCTATCCCAGCACTCACCGGACAGGTGAGAAACCAGCAAGAGATGCAGCACGGTAGAGAGTTTACCTGGCCCCAGGGTCAGGAGCAACTGCTTGGCCTACAACAGCCCAGGCACAGCTGATCCAGACAACTGGATTTTAAACATTTTTAAAAAGAAACTGCAATAGAATTTGCAAGCACTTTCTCCAGTCATTGCTCTGTGTTCATTTACAATAAGAGCTACTTCAGCAACCCAGACTCTAAATCAAAATAACTAATACTTTTGTAGCATGGCCTCTTCTGGGCACAAAACCCATTTCTGAGGTTTACAGTTACAGATGTATAAATTTGAATATCAATTTTTCTAAGTTTTTCAGCGAAGAGAGAGAAAAAAGGTTAGGCTTAGTTTTCAGAAAAGAGACAAAAATTTCCTGGTGTTTTCTTTTGTATTATTAAGAATGTTTGCCAGGCTGATCTTATCACCACAGCCTTTTTAATTTGAAGGAAAGAAAACAGAGGCTCTGATTTCATTCCCTCCCAGGACATGAGCCAGCGCTTCCACCGGAACAGAAGCTGGAGAGGTGAGACTGGTTCTATGTGACATTTTCAATGCCGGGCACTTAGCTGGAACTTAGCAAACACCTCAGCACAACGAAGGTAATTAAAACCTTGATAAGTTAAGTGAAACTTTCCCATTTTACTTGCAGGTAGGATTTTTTCTTCAGATTAAGTGCACGAGGGACACATAGGTTATCAGCGAGTTGATTGTAATTTCACTTAAGTTCATTATTCTTAAGACTCTATCAAAGACAAAGGCAACTGGGGTGCCAAAGACAGCGAGTCTGAAATCCCACCACGGGTGTCTAGTGATTGTGGCTCTGAGCTCCAAAGGGAACAGCTTAAAGAGACTGCACTCTTTAAGGTTTGGCAGCTTTTTGAGATGGGGTCTTGCTATGCAGTTCAGGCTGGCCTTGAACTCACAGCAATCCTCCTGCCTCAGCCTCCCGAGTGCTGGGATTACGGGTGTGCACCACTACGCCTGGCGAGCCCACCTTCCTTACAGACTCCAGGCACTGAAGCTGGAGTAGCCGGGCAGCAGCGGCTTAGTCACTTTCCTAAACCGGGCAGTGCAGAAAGATACAGCGATCCCAGCCTTAGTTCCCCGACCCTCCTGCCCGTGGAGGGAATGAGTGATGTGGGCACAGTGACCACCTTTGTGCCAGGCAGAGTGTTAGGGGCCTTCCCGGCAGTATTTCACGTCGTTCTCCCTACGTTTCCATGCCGTGGCTTCCACTGCTACTTGCTTTTTACTGATGAGGAAACTGAGGCTCGCAGACATGGGCTCAGAGTCAGAGCTGACTCCAAACGCAGCTGTCCCTCCACCTCCCCGAGTTCGTCACCTGTCCGCCTGCGTCACCTCCTGCAGCCGCCGACTGTGCGGCTGAGATTTCCCCGCACGGAAGGAAGGACAGCGTCCGTCTGTCTTGCCTCCAGACCCCATCCGTGACCAAGCACAGCTGGGCGCGGTGCCATTCACTCCTGTCCAGCGTGGGCTCCAGCGGGGACCTTGCTGCACCAGCCTCCGCCCCACCCCTGTCCTTCATCCTTCCCTTCTTCCCTCCTCCTCTCCCTCGCTGACAGAATTCCCTCAACAACACTCCACCTATGACTGCCTCCTCCAGAGGCTGAACCTCTGGCGTGGGGATTCTCGCTTGGCCTGTGCGTCCTGGAGGACCCAGATTTACACCAGGACTCAGATTTACCGGGATCTGATTTACCAGGACTCTCAGCATCACTCTGATTTCTTTCTGAAGTGAATACATGTGGTCTCGTTCGACCAAATGCATGTTAAATCTCATGCTTCGTGTGCTGCTTCTACTTTTTATGATCTATTTTGAATGTACACGCAACTCTTAGATATGCTTTGGTCTATGTGATGCATGACTATCACATCTTCGTTTATATGACTGAATATGAGATGGGTATTTAAATAAAATGTTTAAATATGGGCCACTTAGGTTATCTCCTTTGCTATGATATATGTATATAACTCAGTTGGATTTTTTTCCTCCTTTTTTTGATACTAGGGTTTGAATGCAGGGCCTTTGCACTGAGCTAAATATCCAGCCGTTCCTATTTTTATTTTTTTGAGTTAAGTTAGGTTCTCACTAAGTTTTCCAGGATGGGTTAGAACTTTCTGTTCCCCCCGGCTCAGTCTCCCAGAGCGCTGGGCTCTCACACGGGAGCCCCCATGCCCGGCTCTCACTTGAAAATCATTCCCTACATTCTGTTCCTGGTAAAAGCCTTTTGGGAAGAATAAATGGAGATGAGAGAGAAGGTTAGAACAGAGTGTCAGCCGACATCCTTCCAAGCTGTCACGAGCTATCGGAGCTTGTGTCCTACTGGGAATCCAGAAAGAGGATTTCTGTACACCAGGAAGCACCAGAAAGAGGCTCAGAAATCCAGCTGGATTCTGGACCACGGGGTAAGACTGACACCCCAGTGACATCTGGGTTTGTCACCTGCTTTCACGGTGTACCAGGTAGCACAGATGTTTGCGTAAAATGACAAAGTCAGCTTTTTCCAGCTCTGTGAGTTTCCACCCCTTTCGCCCCAATTTCTCACTCACCTTCTGACCAAATTTAACCCAGGTGAGAGTTTGCGACAGGCAGGGTGGCCGGGGTTTGCACAGCGCGGGTGAGCAAGGGCTGGTCCTGAGGACCACGTGGATGCCCGGCAGTCTCCCTGAAGGCCCCACACCTCCTCCTGCATGTGCGGCTTAGAGGGGAAGGAGTCAGATCGGGGTTTGCCTTTTTCCTGTCCAGAGCACAGGCTACATTTATCCTGCTGGTGACCCGGTGGACAGCCGGGCTTTCAGTGATGCCTTCTGTGGAGAAGCCACAAAGACTAAGCACCCCGAGGTAGTCCATCATGCGAGGCCGGAGGGAGCCGGGGTCATTTTAGGTCATTTTAGGCCAGTGATGGCTCAAACTCCAAGCCAAAGCCCACTCACTTACACTGCAGGGAAACCCGAATAGGAGGTTTTAGTTTAGGAAAAAACAACTCATATACTTGGCCTGCGTGCCTATGAGTGACCTAGGTTCGCCACCGCTGTTTTAGAGGACAACAGATTCACAAAATAGCACAGCCCTTGGACACGAACCAAAGTCACCGTGCTTTTTATTCCCCATACAGCACCTGCTGGTGACACTACAAGCACCTCATGCTTCCCAGCAAGGCATTAGAAACCCTCAGCGCAGAGACAAACTGACACATTTTGCAAGATTGAGCACAACAAACAGGCTCAGGAGAAATAATGTCCCAAGTCCCAGCTGCAAATCTTGGAACTCAGACTCACCTTCTTCCAGAACAGTTTGCCCAGCGGCAGGGAGGTGGGGCCTGTCTTCTCCTTGTCACCTTCCTTGGCTGTCCCGCTGGTTGCTGTGGACGGCGCCTGCCCCGGTGGTGGGCAGCCTTTGGGGCTCTGGGTCTCCCGGGGAGGAGAGTTAGCTTTGTCTGACTTGAGCTTGGCTGGGGTGCTGGGGGATTTCTCAGCGCCCTAACCGAGTTGAATAAAAACAAAAACCAAAGTGAGCAACTGCAGGGAAATTTCACAGTTGCAAAAGCAACGGATTACTTTTTACTTTTAGGAACATGGGCTAGGGTGAGGTTTAATGTTAATTTTCCTCCTCATGATTGTCTACGTTATCCAAATTTCTACTTGGAATGGGGGCTTGTGTTAAAAAGTCAGGGCATTTTCCTTCTGAAACACAAAACAGAGATGCGTTCATGCAAGCAGCTTATTAGGAGTTATTGGGGTGTTGGGAAGAGAGGCTTTGGTGTCAGTGTGCAGGCCCCGCGCGGGGGCCACCGGGTACCCTCACTGGGAGCCCTCCCCATGGGCATCGCTGATACCAAATAGAACTGCAAGAGGAATTCTAAAGTTCTCTCTCCTTGCATTTGGCCATCGCTGATCTGGGCTATGCAGTACGTGAGACAGGTGGACCGGAACTCAGAGAAGGGGTCCTGAGCTGTGGTGCAATTCTGTTTTTTCACGTTCAAATACAACTTCTTCAGATGTTACTGACATCATCCTCCCCTCTCCCCCTTCTCCTCTTTTCTGTCTCTGTGTCTCCCCTCTTTGTCCATCTCCCCCTGCCTAACCCCTCCGCTTCTCTCTCCCCAAGTGGCTGTGCTAAAGCCCAGTTCCAAGATAACCTATGTCTTCACCGAGGCGCTGGTTCTTCTGTGTCATCTCCCTGAGTCTTTGGATATGGAGTTACAGTCGCATCTCTGTCAACACAAATGAAGACTGGCTTGAAAATTTTTTATCACCAGTTTCGTCTGACCTACCCTCTCATGCTAAGCATCTTTGTGATTTTTCTTCACTTTCCCACGTGGACATCACTGGGCCCTTCTCTGCAGAGTGCTTGTGATTCCATGAATGCTCCTGTGCGGTAAAGGGAGTGACATCTTCTCTGCCTGGAACCTGCATTGTGCTTTCAACAGTTTCTAAGCTCACATCACCATTAAGGCATGGAGTGGAGAAATAACCTGGTACTGGAATAATTTTATTTCCATTGAAAGTATGTGAAATTGCATAATTTTGGAATTTAAAATAACCCCTGAATTTTAGAGATGGGAATGTCAAAAGTGCTGAACTCACAAGACGGCACCGAAAAGGCTTCCGAGCACCTGGTGCTGTTTTAACCTTATGTTGTACAGAGGTGAAAGGGCACTGATTAAAGAGAACTACCTTCCCAGATACAAAGTAGCTTGCTTTGTTTTTCAGAAAATGTAACAAAGTGTTATTTATTCACAAAAATATATTAAGTGCCTTCTGTGAGCCATGACGTGCACTGGGTTACAGACTCTCATGGAAAGAATGATGCTAAACAAATTATTTCTCAAAAAAATTACAATTGTGATAAGTGCTATGGAGGGAGGAGAAGATTTGTTGCTGCCAAAATGCAACAAGCAAACAAATGAACCCTGAAAACTAAAGCGGAGAGTTGGACCCATTCTTGACAATCAGAGAAGACATCACTGAGAGACAGAGGCTTCTTTGATCTGAAAGTGACTGGAAATTGAGCAGGGAAAGGAAGGAGACTGATCCCTAACAGCTACTCTGAGGTCCTTTGTCAAGGGGACGTGTGGCAAGGGTATTGGGACCTGCACAGAAGCAGCAGGGGTAGTCAAGCTTATCTAACTACCCAACATCCACCTCTTCTGCTCTGCTGTCTACCCAGCATCCACCTCTTCTGCTCTGATGACTACCCAGCATCCACCTCTGCTGCTCTGCTGACTACCCAGCATCCACCTCTTCTGCTCTGCTGACTACCCAGCATCCACCTCTTCTGCTCTGCTGACTACCCAGCATCCACCTCTTCTGCTCTGCTGACTACCCAGCATTCACCTTTTCTGCTTTTCTGAGAGAGTTTTCACTTGGCCAGGTGTGGATTTGAGACCATGAACCTGAGAGACTGGGGTTGACTGTACCTCATTTCTAAGAAAGGGCTGTTGTTGCTGGCTTCAACCAATCACTGGCCCAGCTAAGGCCATGCACCATGCAGTGGTCCGGCCACATCATGACCCCATGGTGTCTGAGTTAATGCCTGTTGCTTTGCTTTGTCTACTTTCCAGGCTGTGGATTCGTCCTGCTCAAGACTGCCCACCCAGACTCATATGGAGGTTACAAGAAAACCTAGTTCTCCAGAGCTCTAGAATGTTCCTGGGACAGCCCGCTACCCCGTGCATGACATATGTGGCCTTGCACCACTGAGCCTCTACTCCTGCATGTCCCCTTGGCCACTTGTACCTCAGAAGACAAAATCTCATCTTTAAACTTTGATTTGCGAATGAAAGTGCCAGGCACTGTTCTGGGCACTGGGATGCCCCAACAGTCCTATGAGGGAGGAGGGTGTCTCTGCTTCCATCTTGCAGACAGGGAAGTATTGGAGTTTGGTGGAGAAGTCACTTGCCCACGGTCACACTCAGGAGGGGCGAGAGCCGACAGCTGAACTCCAGGGGCCTGGTCTCTGCACCCAGCATCAATAGCAACTCTGTGCAGCACCGCTGTCAGTCAGTCAGGCTCTGCCCACACACGGCTGCCCCATTCACCAAGGGGTGGAATTTGCGTCACCATTCTAAATAAAGCCACTATCATCCCAAGAGCGGGGACTGGGTCATAATGCCCTTGTTCTGATGAGGTGCTATAAAAATTAGACATTAACACGGTCCATTCCATCCAAAAGGTCTTATGTCAGAAACACAAACACGATATATGTCTAGCACTAGAATTCCACTGGGAGGAAGGTGACTTGTGGAAAACTGCCCAAAAAGGCTCCATGGTGGTGAGCAGATGACGAGAAAAAGACTGGGAACCACATCTACACTGCTCAGTTTTGCCGAGAAATAGCCAGTTCTCTCCTGTGCACAGGAAGATAGCCAGAGACCCTAAAAAATACCACAAGGGTTTGACTGTGTTATATTTATAGTCACAGAGCATAACTCAAAGGTATCTGTGCAAGTGTTTGTTGACTGTGTCTCCCAGGTTACCCTTCCAGTCCACTGAGGGGAACAGGCTGTTGGGCAGGACGGCCTCCCTAGGTCCCATCAGGTACAGAGAACTGGAACAAAACAGGTATTAACTAACTAACCAGCTAACTGGCTAACTAACTAACTAAAATACAAGAAAGTGAGCAGAGAGGCTCCAGCCTGGCTGCAGAGTCCCAGTCTGAGCAGGTTTGTTGGTTTATTCTCCACCCACCACTGTCCACTCCGTGCTTCCCCAAGACCTCTGTCCAGTGCCGTTCCATCAGCACGAACCAGCTTAACACACTTTGCTGGCATTGTAGAAGGAATGACAGAAGCTCTAACCCAGTTTTTGGAGGTAATGTCATGAAGAGGTTTGCCAGATTTGAAATAAAAAGCAAAATAAATGCCTCACTATGTTTGAATTTCAGCGAGCCAAAGAAAAACTGTCTAGCCCTAAGTATGCACTAATATTTCATGGGCCACATCTTGATATTAAAATTTTTTTTCCTTATTTATCTGAACCATGAATACCATCAGGCACCCTGAGGTTTATCCGGTGATTCCGCCTATGGAATTCTAATGTGTTAGATTTGGAGCCTGCAGGTCACATGAGCGGACCTCCTCCGTGGATTTTCAGTTTCTTTTTCCTGGGTGGGAGACACTGTGGTGTTAGGAAGATGCAAACATCGCCAGAACAAACAAAAACAATGAATTCACGGCAGAGCTTGCGAATCGCCAGGGCCAGCTGCTAATAAACTCTCTGGCTGCCTCGCCAGGCACTGGGGAACACTGGGGGAGCCTGGGTGGAGAGGGGAGTATTTCCAGGCACGGTAAACACATCATACAGCCGGGCCTCAAATATACCCAAGAGCAGCGCCTCGCCTCGGTCCCCTCTTGCTGGACGTGGGAGTCTGTGGGAGAGTTTGGTTCTGAGGCACTGCGTGGGATTGAGGTGACAACAAACACCCCTATCCAGCAAGGGAAAGCAGGTGCTCTTATTATTTATGATTTCAGTTTATTTCATTTTTAATGGCAGACTTTCTGGTTTTTTTTTGGTACTGGGATTTGAACTCAGAACCTTGCACCTGCCAGGCAAGTGCTATGCTACTGAGCTATATCCCCGGCCGTCTGCTTTGTTTTTTAAAATGAAGAAAATGTCTTTTATAGGAAGAAAAATCCAGATGGAGAAATAAACCCGGAGACCAGTCAGAACTGCTAACCATCATATTTTTTTATTGGACAAAAACCCCAAAAAGTATGTAGGTTTTTTTTTTTCTTTTTACCCTTGAATTGGTTCTGATTCCCCCTTTTCTCTGGTTTTAGATTACAGGCCCTGCGTGAACTGGAAGGTGTCCTCCTCCTACAAAAGCGCAGGGGTGGCACTGACAGAAGCTGCTTCACCCTTTCAATGGCTCCTTGTCCTCTCTTTGAGGACCAAAGAATAATTAAAAAGCAAAAAGGAATAAACTGTCCTAAGTACAGAGACAAATACCAAGGAGCGCTGCGGAAGTGCTATAGAAGACTTCAGAAGCATTTTAACTTACATCGACATTGAAAATACAAAAGCACACCCTGGCTAGAACTCAGGGCAGGACCTTACAGTGCGGGTCTCCTGCCTCCTCCCCGAGTCCAGAGTCCTGTCCTCCCCCAAATACAGCTTGGTGGCAGCAAGCGAGGCCAGAGGTTTTGGAAACTCTAAGAACACTAACAGGGAACTTGGGCGGTCCATTCTGAGTAGAAAGAGTTACCCCAGATGTGAGTGTCTGCAGTGCGTAGTAACGAAATGCCAACCCGGGCCAGAGCAGCGCAGGGCGTGTGCCGTGCACTCCAGCACCCAAGGCCTCTGACTCCCAGCTCCCAGCGGGAGTCGTGGGAGGCTACGACACATTTCACTAGCAGCCACAAAACCGTGTCCCACGCACCCAAGTGGCCGCACTACTTTTTAAGCTCGCCCTCCTGCTGTGTGATCTGACACTCTCTCTTCTCTTCACAGAACAAAAGAAGCCTGCATGGAAACCGCAGGATGGCTTCATCATGTTTTTGGTGCAAAAGTAAATTTACCTATGAGTGTGCTTCCTGTAGCACTTTTATTTGCACGCCTAACCCCAAGACCGACTATCCAGCTGGGAAAGTTTGTTAATAAGTTCATTCAACTTGGAGGACAATAGTGGACCTTTCAAACCAATTTCCAAGCACGCAGACCCGATTCAGAATCTATTTTAATGCATGGTCTCAGAGACACACTGGTGTCCTCTTGGATATTAGAGGAGTGACCTCTCCAAGCCCATTTGGCCCTAACTTCCGCATGACTTGGAGAATTCACTCTGCCTCCAACCACTGTTTTTATTTCCTCCCGCCTAGGCTTTTATGCTGGTTCAGTATTAGCTTAGTTAATACTGGAAAGGGCAGGAACAGCTCATGGAAAGGTAAGATTGTTATCTTGGGGTTAGTAGAGTGTCTCCCGAAGGGTAGGCAGCATACCACGCTGGACCTGAGATAGTTTTAGGTTGCACAGAAATCTAATATTCAATAACCTTCAAATAGTGGAAATACTTTCCCTTTTCCAGCTCTCATTGTCTGTCTACAGCATGCCAGGAGAAGGCTCGGTTTGATGCTGAACGGCTTCAATATTTCCACAGTAACTGTTTTTCTTTAAGCAAAAATTTGGTCAATTGTTTTTTAAAAATAAAGCTAGACAGGGCACTGGGTCAGATCCACACAGAGGAGGTGAGAAGGCTGTTCTTTTTACTCACTGTTTTAAACGGCCATCTTCCTCTCACAAGGAATGAGCCTGGTTTTAGGATGAAATGTAAAGTCTCTTTTTAAGATATGTTTACATAGAACACAGCCAATTTCAGTAGAAGGACAAGCGATTATACTGAACAAAAAACAGCGAAGGTGGTATACAAGGTCCGACCCTTGGGAAACGCCCATGAGAGTAATTTCAGAACCCTGGTCGACACCGGGGAGCAACTGGTCTGCGATGTGCGTAACCACCTGCACTGAAGCGAATTCAAAGCCTCTTTAATTCCCTTGCACCAATCCAGCCCCAGCTCATCCTCCATCGAGGCAGGGCGAGGCGGGCAGGGGCCGTGCGTGCTGCATGCTGACGACCAGGGTTCTTTCCTCTCTCAGTGCAGCGAGATACAAACCTGATGTCTAAAGAATTTTCTAAAGGTGAGTCCTAGCCTGGGGCTCTCCAGGTGCTTTTTCTTGCTGCCTTTTGCCTGGGTCTCGGCCATCTTCTGGCCAGCTTGGCCATCACAGACGATTTCTGCTTTGGATGCCTTCTGGGCAACAGTGGTCACAACTTAGAACTTCACTGTTCAACAAAACCCATTTCTTTTCCTGTTGTCTGAAAGTGCGTTAATGCAGGGCAGGAAGAGCTGTGGGCCTCCAGCCTCCTCCCCCAAGTTTGGGGCACCATGTAAATGTGTTGGCTTCTTTAAATCCTCAAGGACAATGTATTGCACAGCATTGTTTGAGGGTACTGAAATTGGACCCAGCTCTTTTGCAATGTACTATACCCCTTATCCCTTTTTAAAAGTGTGTATAAGTGTTTTAAATTTTGAGACAGAGCCTCAGTAAGTCACTAAGTTACCCAGGTTGGGTTTGAACTTGCAACCCTCTTGCTTCAGCCTCCCAGAGGGCTGGGATTACAGGTGTGTACTGCCCACCCAGCTGTAAACAGTACACTTAAATCGATCTCAGGTACTTACTGATTTTCAAGAAGGTGACCTACTTAAATGACTTAGGTAAACAGATTTCAAAAAGCTCGCTCCCAAACCAAACCAAATCCTACCCACATCACTATTTGCTAAAGATAGCAACAAGACATTTAATACTACACCCCTCAACATAGCTAACTGAAAAATAAAAACAGATAATGCAATCTGTACTTCACAATTTTAAATATCCAAGTGGTGTTGTCATATGGATAAGAAAATTACTTGCTGACAACTAATTTAGCGTTGTGTTTCCCGAGACAAGGTGAATACGGCCTCTGAGGGGCTTCTGCACTCAGACTGATTTCCTCTGATTTAGGGCTGGACACTTCTGGGAAGCAGCACCATGCACACAAACCGAATGACTGGCGGGGTGTTCAGGCAAAGGAGGATGCTGGGCATGAATTAGCTCAGCTACAGCCACTGAAAATGGTTGACCAAGGTACAGAATTTTCAAAAAATAAAAACCCAAGAACTTCAGTAGAAAATGATATCAGCAAGGCCAGATATGAGGACAGATCTCATGAGTAACCTGCACTCCAAATCTCTCCCCCGAGCCAGGGTCAGCCTTGGACAGGACAGTGAGATTTTGTCATCGAGATAATTTAGTTAGGGCCACATCCAGTAGGTTGTGGCATGGGCTTGGTGCATGGAATGACCGCAGCCGGTCACTCCGGGAGACAGACAATCCACACCCACACCCCCCACTGTTTATCCTCTACTGTGCTGAGCATGTGTCTTCAAACAATGCAAAATACAGAACCAAAAAAACTGTTTTGACCCAATCAGTCACCGAACTTGACCCAGTTGCTTTGCAGCCAATGCATAATTTTAAGGACAATACATGCAGATGCCTTGGAAATGGCTTTTCAATGGGGAAAGAAAATTCTAGAGCAAGCAATCAGTGTATGACAGATGGAATCATAACATCAAATCTAACTTGCACAGGGAAATAGGAGTAGGCAGCATCGACACTTGACCAGAGCCCTGCAGTTTATAAGGTGTTTTCACACCTTTCCTGAGTCCTAGGGCCCATGGGAGAATCTTTGTTGTCTCAGTTTTATGAACGTGGAGACCCTGGGCTCCTAAAGCTGCGGATCACAGTATTATCAAGTCACAGAATTGGAGCTCGCACACAGGTCTTCAGAGACAAAATCTAGGATTTCTTTTTATCACAATTTAGGTAGCATATGCATGGGGCTGGCTCAGCCACTCAGCTGGCCCCAGGCTATTTCAAAGCACCTTTGGTTACCAAAAGAATGTGAGCCACTGTCTGTCGCCAAGTTAAACTGCTCTCAGGTATTCAGGGAAGTTTCAACCATGTGCTCCACTAAGGTCACTGGTCCTGTCAAGGGTAAACATCTTCAAGAAACTGGTTGTCCTAAACCGAATTTCTTTTGAGGGGAACTGGCTGAGTTTCCAGGAAGATGGGGAAAAGTCCAGCAGGGTTCTGACTCCTACTGGGTCCTCCATCTGGCGAATACCCGTCCTGTGGTGACCATTTTATCTCAAAATTAGCTTTGCAGCATAGAACTTTCTGCCCCTACAAATTATATAAAAGGAAAGAAAACTTGTTTGTTCTTTTTCAGTGGCATTGGGGTTGAACCCCGGGCCTCATACTGAGTTAGATCCTAGTCCTTTTCAGTTTTTAAATTTTGAGGTAGGGTCTCATCAAGTTGCCCAGGGTGGCTTCAAGTTTGTGATTTGACCTCTGTTTCTTAAGTAGCAGGAATTAAAACCACAGCAGCTCCCTTTTATTTAAAAGGAGTCATTTTTTATTATGCTTCTAGAGTTTCTCTACATGCAACTTAAAGACTAACACGATGATATAATTGTCATTATTCTGTTCTTATTTTATATAAGAAGTTGGTTATTGTGACATTATTTAGCCAGAATTGGTGAGCTTCTACTTAAATTTTCACTAAAATACCATTCACTACCTAAATGAAATATTTTAAAGACAATCCAACAGCAGTATTAAATTGCTAACATCATATATGCATGTATATATATATATATATATATATATATATATATAAAACATGTGTAAGTACATGTGATACACGCATGTGTATATATGGTACATGTATTATTCAAGAAGCAAACAAGCAGACACATTTGAATCCAATTCTATGCCCAAATCCAACATACATACACTGCTATGCATACACTTCACACCACCTACCGTGTCTTCTGGATCTTTCTTTGTTTCTGCCTTGTTAGGTGAAACCTTAAAAGGTTAAAGAAACCAAATATTAAAAGCCATAGATTTTTTAAAGTGATTTTTATTTCACAGTCACATAGTTCTTCAGGGAGACTCAGTTTATCATACCAACAAAGAAGGAAACGAGTACTTTCAGTTTAGTGGAAACCAAAGGACTTCTAGGTAATAAAATGTTGACAAAATTAATATTTTATAATGAAATGCATCAGATCCTGTTTACTCACTGAAAGCTTGATCACATTCAAAATTGTCTCTGGAAGGTCATAGACTTCCCATCAGTCCTGCCATTATTCTGAACAGGTGTTTGTGGCACCTTCTGTCGGCCAGTTTCATTGTGTCTTTTGGAGTTTAGTCTTGATATTTGTATACAGGTCTGACCTCCTGGGAGCTGGTTAATTATGCATTCATCCATTCATTCATTCATCCAGCTCTCTTTTGAGTTTGCCATGTATCTGCTTATGGGCTCTACCTTGGGAGGTCAGAGATGGATGAGAACACAAAGACATAGTCTCTACCCCATCCAATTAAAGTAGAGATGGGGCCAGATTGAACATTATTTCTGCAATGCTTTATTTGCCTGTGGATGTGAGGTCAACAGCACAAGGCTGTATTTCCCTGGGACCGTGAACGATGGATGACCATGAGACAGTCAACCGCAATGGAATTCCATTACGATACACCACCATGGTACATGGTGGGGCACCCACTGACCCCTTCACGGCTTCCAGCACTAAGAGCCCGCTCACAAAACCCCTATGAACACGATTCCCCATGAGCCACATCTTGTCCCTGTCCTTTGAGGATCCCATGGCACCATGATGGTAACCCAGCAAGACACTCAAAGAAACACTATTCTTAAAATCAGCATCACTTTCAGACAGCGGTCCTGGGGGAGAAGAGGGAGCTGCTTACCAGAGTTCTGAAGAAGCTCATGATGGACGTGTTACTGGCCGTCGTGTCGGTTGTCTGGGCGTCTTCCTCTGCAGTCCTCAGCCCTTCCAGGTCCCCAGAGATGGAGCCCTGTGAACTTTCAATTTCTCGTCCTTCTGTTTCTTGGCCGTCAGCTATATCCTAGAACAACACGGGATTTTCACAGTGGTGACTTGCTGAGTGTGGACTGTCAGGGTCCTATGTTAGGTTCACACCCCTCTCTTCCTCACCCCCATTCCAGCCATACTTATCCTGCCCACGTGCCTGCAGAACAATGAGGAGCTTATGAGAGCCCCCTCCTTCTCTCCCGCAACATATTCAGCATTTGCAGTTGGTTGGAGGGACATTGTTTGGAGCCAGAGGGTAACAAACACAGCAGTGCATGTTGCATGCTGAACAAAACCCTTTTCTCCCGGTTCCACGGAGAGAGTGTGGAAGCTGCCAGTGGCTTCCATCTTTGTGGCCTCCTTGTTTAATGATTTGTACATCATCACAAAGACGGCTGCATTGGACTCCTCCCAGCCCTCACAATAGTGAAGCCTATCAACTGGGGGAAAGAAAAAAGTCCTGGTGACTTGGAGCAACCATTCTGCCTTTGGGACCTGGAGTTTTCGGGACCAGGGATGTGATGGGGGAGGCTTTCTGCTCTAACTCGCCCAGGACTGCAGGGTGCATGCTGGATCGACTTCCTCGCCCGTCTTTACCCCCAGGGCTCTGGGCCAATGCTTGGTTGTCTCCCTCAACGCAGGCTCCTGGCCCTGGCTGTTGCCTTCTGGAGGCCTCTAACCACGCTTCCCTCCAGACACCCCCTCTTCCACTCCTTACCGCCCCCAGGGGCCGCCCAAGGCCTTCAGTCAGGCCCGATCCCTACGCAGGCTCCCGTGTCTTACAAGGTTTGGAGCAAGCATTCCTAAACACACAGCCTCGCATCACTGCTTGGTGGGGGCAGGAACAAACGGTCCTTTCGTGTAAACAAAAGCTTGCTGTATCCGCTGACTCTTGCATAAAAAGAAGGAACACAGACGGCTCTCCCCTGCCGCGAGCGTGTGCCACGCCACTCTGCAGGCCTGCAGTGCACTTTGCAGTGTCCGGCTGTGACACCGGATGGTGACCGGTGGGCACGTACAGTGTTTCACACCTAGGATGCTGTCAGCCACGCTCATGTGGGGATCTCAAACTTGGATTTTTAACCTTTCACATGCATCTCTATTTTCTCTGGACAAACGACCGAGTGCTATTTCTGGCTCAGGTGGTACGTGCAGTTTAAAACTGGATAAATAGTCTTGCAACATGTGGAAGCTTTCCCTGGGCAGGTTCTCTGCAGCGATGTCTGAGTTGTATCTGGTGCATCTGCAGGGGCGGGGCAGGTGAGACCTCAAATATGTCCAGGGCAGGTGGAGAAGCCCGGGTTCAGGGTTTGACACCAGGCAATGTGTTCTGCAGCCGGGTGGAGCGAGCGAGCCCTGCCTGATTGTCACCTCCTGGCCTGGGCATCATTTCCTGCCCCGGTCTCCATTGTGCACCTGTGCAGTCTGGTCCTTTATCCCAAGGCCTTCAACTCTCCCTTCCTGTGCCTCTACCCGCTCCCCTACTCCAGTGCCCCCTGACCTGGACAGGAACAGAAGGGAACCTGAGTGTTTCTGTGCAGGAATCCTTAACAAGGCCCAGCGTGCGGGGCCCACAAAAGCATCAGCGATTCTGTGTACTTTGACTACGGCCCTCAGTGATGGAGAGCGGAACACGGCAGCCTTTGCCTGTGGACAACCAGTGCTCTAAACTGTAGTTTCTGGAAACCAAGTGTAAATGGATCCAGGGAGGTTCTCCGGACCACTGGAAAACATGCTTTCTTAATTTTAGAGAGAAAAACAATAAAAATGATGATAGAGAACTTCATAACAAGATAATGGGAAATTAATAATTGTTAATAAACTGAGTATGGTTATCTACAAAGTAGTGGTCAGCCTGTGAGTTACAGGCATGAAAATTGATCAGACAATATAAGGGTAAACCAGTCTTTTCAATACACTGAATAAATTAGTAGTATAATTATCTTCGCTATTATACACGTACATATTTCTTTTCTCCTTTCCGTATCCTAGTTCTTTCCTTTTAAGAAGTTTCTTTCCCTTTCATGATATCTATTAGAGACTTTTGGGTCTTATTTGCCTTTCCAGTTTCTTACACTAGGGAGACAATGTGATGTTTACACATGTGAGTCTGGTTTATTTTACCTATGATTATGGCCTATAGTTGCATCCATTTACTTATAATATAGCTGAGTAGTATTCCATTGTATAAAAATACCACTTTTTTTTGGTCTTTTTCATTTTTATCGGTACCGGGGATCGAACTCACGACTACCTGCTTGCAAGGCAGGAGTTTATGCTGCTGAGCTAAATCCCCAGCCCCTCACATTTTTTTTTATCCACTCTTCAGTTGATGGGCATTTGGGTTGTTTCCAAGATCTGGCTATTACAAATCGTGCTGCTATAAACATGGGAGCACATGTATCACTGTGGTACGATGTTTTCCATTCTTCTGAGAAAATACCCAGAAGAGGAATAGCTGCATCAAATGGGACCTCCAATCTCAGTTTTCTGATGAATCTCCACACTGATTTCCACAGTGGTTGCACCAGTCTACACTCCTACCGGTGCAGGAGAGCTCCTTTTCCCCCACAGCCTCTCCAGCATTTGTTATTGGTAGTTTTCTTGATCCTGGCCATTCTTTCTGGAGTGAAATGGAACCTCAGTGTTGTTTTAATTTGCATTTTTCTAATGACCAATGACGATGAACATTTTTTCATATAGTTACTTGCCATTTGCATGAAAAACATTTAACATTTACCAAACAGTGAGCTGTGCTCTTTTCTAAGACAGTGTAAGTTGAACACGTTCATCAAATCTTCATACACCATTACTTATGAAATAATACACATCATTCCATATTCCCTAACACTGCTGTGCAGATAAGTACATTTAAACACGGGTCTTTTAATCTCGACAACAATTTCAAGAGGCAAATATTATGACTGCGAGTTTTTAAACACTGAAGGAGAGGTTGGGCCCCCAGAGCTGGAGAGAGGCGATCTGGGGATTCTGAGCCTCCCAAGCCTTTCAGCCCATCTGGTTGTGAGTGCCTGCCTATGTGATGTAAGCGGTGAACGAAACGCGGGTGGCGGGGAACCAGGACATTCATGAGGAGTACGCGTAAATGTATGTGAATCCATAAATTCCCGGTAGCTCTGTTCTGAAGAAGTACTGGATTCAGAACCCGTCTAAACCACATCATCCTTATTTCTTGAATGGTCAGGCGCCTTGATCAATCTGCCATCTCATCAGATCTCTGTGAAGATGTTACAGATGGCGAAACTAAGGCCCAAACAGCGTCCAGCTCATGCCCAAGGCCACTCAGCGAGTGTGGTCAGTAGCCCTTGTGCTCCTCCGTCCGGCTCTCCGTGTTCCTCCTGATTAAAGGACTCCACTCGGCCTGGGAAGAAGTTCTTCCTCCATTCCTCCTTCCCATTGCTTTTCTGATGTGTTTTTGTTTTATCTTCCTGTGGTCACTCTGTGGTAGCCTCAGTGTTTGAACCTGAGCCTCCGCCTGCCAGAAATGCACCACCTTCCGACCTGCGAGCCATCCAGAAGGTCGTATTTGTTGAGGTCTTTCTTTACTTCTCCAAACTGCTGGCACTCAATCCTGGGACCCCTTCCGCGGCTGGTCACCCTGTTTTCCTCTTTCAGTTTTGACGTGTTGTGGTCCCCTCTCCACGGGGATGTGGGGCAGTGACTGGAGATGGTTTTGGGTGTGCACTGGAGGGTGCAACTGGCTTCCAGCGGGTAGAGATTGAGGTGCCACTCAGCACCCTCTCCTGCACGGGCCAGAGACACCTCCAGAGGAAGTTGCAAAGGCACCGAGCCAGGTAATGCTGCGAAACCTCACTCATCATTTTGGGTTTTGTTGCCTCTTCTTTCCATGGAAGATAAACAAGGGAAGACAGGAACTTTTGTTCTTCTTTGGATTTCTTTTGCCCACTTAGTATGTGAGTGAATGATAGATGATTCGATCCAAGTGAGACCAGCAATTATTGGTTATCATCATGCCTTCCGGGAGCTCCCCTCCCCTCCCCTCCCCTCCTTCAAGGGCTCCAATGATATGAATTTTGGTCTGCCCTCAGTTCACTGAGTTTTCTTTCTTTGTTTCTTTAAAAAAACAAAAACAAAAAGAAAAGAACCCTCTCCCTCTGGGTGGTTTCTGTTGCCTTTAAACTCTCTAATCTTTTTTCCTGAATTATTTAAAATGCTGTTAATCTCATTCAGTGAATTTTTACCTCACAAATTATTGTTTTTAATCTTTAGAAGTTTAATTTGGGCCTTTAAAAATATACCTTCTGTGTTCCAAAAAACTCAACTTTTTACACAAATGGAGTAATATAAATGAATTTCAAATGTCTTTTCCTGATGGTTCTTTTTTGGGGGGCCTGTTGGGACAGAGTCTTGCTATGTACTTCAGGCTGGTCCTGAACTCACTGTGTGGCCCAGGCTGGTTTTGAATTTGTGGTGATCCTCCTGCCTCAGCCTTCTGAGTGCTGGGATTAAAGGTGTGTTAGACCACACCTGTTTTTTTCCTGTTGAGTTTGACATGGAGACAGTTCTGGGCTGGTTTCAATGGAGTTTTCATCAAATCATGAGTTACGTGTTTCTGTTTCTTTGTTTCCTGATAATTATTCATTAAATGGCAGATGTTGTGGATTTTTATGTTTGGTAAAATTTCAGTAAATACTCTCTGTTTGTTTTGTTTTTGAGACAAGATCTTGCTATACAGTTCAGGTGGGTCTAGTCTCACAGTGATCCTCCTGCCTCAGCCTCCCAAGTGCTGGGATTACGGTCCTTTACCATCATGCTTGGCCTCAATGAATACTCTTGAGCTTCGTTCTGGATGTAATTTAAAACACTTGGAAACAGTCTGCTATTTTCAGTTTTGCTTTTAAGATGTGTTCATTTGAAAAGGACTGAAGCTAAATTGAGTCCAGAGAGAATTCTTCCCCTCTTGTGAGAAAGACCCTCCTGAGACCTCCACCTTCTGCTTTGTGAATCCTGAGACTTTCTGGTCCAGCTGGCGGGCAAGACATATCGCCCGAC